CCATATTAACTTTAATGGTGGCTTTGAAATGGCCATATGACCTAAGAGTGGCTGGACAGTGGCCATATGACCTATTACCCTCTCATGTGACATTTGTAAATATTGTCTTTTAATGTTATTACATGAAAGAAAAATAAACAAATTAACAAGAAATGCTGAAAAACACGTATGCCCAACTTTCTAGCCCTTGACTTGTACTGTTGGTAATTTTGTTATAGATACATGCCAAAAATCAGAACATGGAAGTTTTTGACCAACTTTGACATTTATGAGACTTGCCATTCCATAGTTATTAATCGGAAAAGACTTTTATATTTGAGGTAACTAAATTTGACCTTTGACCAAGTGACCCTTAAATCAATACAGGTCATCTTCTAGTTATGACCCATCAATATGTGAAATATGAAAACTTCATGAACGATAGTTTTAACATAATGAGCGTAAACCATTACAAGATTTAAGGCCCATGTGACCCTAAATTCAAAAAAAAATGTCATATTTTTGTTATGGTCAATGAATATGTGAAATATAAAGATTTAGTCACTAATTGGTGTCAAGAGAAAAACATTCAAGGTTATTGTGACCTTGACCTTTGAACTAGTGGCCTCAACTAGTGGCCTCAAAATCAACTACTAGTGATGATCAATTAAAATGTGAAACATGAAGACTTGATAACAAGTAGTTTTGAAGATAATGAGTGAAAACTATTCTGACATTTAAGGATTGTGTTACACATTTTTTTGTAATTTTATTTCATAAACATGATGCTCAAATTCAAGATTTATCAATTTTGTAAGTTCCAAAAAGCATTATTTATAAAGATATTACCGAATTTAACATTTCATGTCCTTGACCTTTAACCTACTGACCCAAAAATTAAAAACAGGTCATCTACTAGTTATGACTAATCAAAATGTGAGATATAATGACTTTGAGATAATTTTTTTCAAGATAATGACCAAAAACCATTCTTACATTTTAGACCCCTGTGACCTTGACCTTGTGACCCCAAAATCAATAGGCATCATTTACTATTTATGTCCAATCAGTATGTGAAATAAATGAAGACTTTGTGATAAATAGTTTTCAAGATCATCAGCCAAACCATGTGTTCTACCGACAGACAGACCACCTGACCGACAGGCCAACTTACCGACCGACATTAGCAACATCCCATTTTCTTCTAACCGGGGTATTATATAATTAATATGTTGTGGACCAATATCAATCTTCTAATACATAGGTTAACTTATTTCTTCACACATTTACAATGACTATTTGCTCTACATACAGCATTTAATACATACCTATAGTTGGTGTCACCTTTGTGTCACATGAATGACAATGGATGGGATTGCAATATGAATTCCTCATACATGAAACACAGACTTTTATGTGATTTATTACAATCATGGTGTGTAACACACTTTCCTCCACTGGAAGAAGAACAAGTAAAGAATATTTGTAAAAACACATGCAAAACTAAAAAAGACATGGCCATCCAGCAGGAATCAGTTGCTTTGACTACAAACTCTATAAACAATAATATTTAGTACAAATTTAGATATTACCAAACTTGGAAGAAAGTAGGACAAGAGCTGCAACAGGAGGAGCACCTTACCTTTCTAAGTGACCTTGACCTTTTTTACCCAAAGCTGACAATTGAGGTAGGGATGTGATTCTTTGAAGCGACACATTGTCTTGATGTGGTAAACCTTTATATGCCAAGTTATTCTAAAAATCCTTCAATGCATGACAAAGTTACAGCCCGGACACGATTGTGTGTACCTATTGACTCTAATGGTGATAATGTGAAAACTTCAAAATGTAAGTGTGACCTTGACCTTAGGGGTAAAGACGTAATTTTTGGACGCAACATGGTAGACATTTAAGTCAAGTTATTTTAAAATCCTTTGATGCATGACAAAGTTACAGTCCGGACATGAATGTGTACCTATTAACTCTAATTGAGATAATGTGAAACTTCAAAATGTTAGTGATCTTGACCTTTGAGTTAGGGACCTGGTTTTTGGATGCAACACATGGTATTGATGTGGTAGACATTTGTGCCAAGCTATTTCAAAATCCCTCAATGTATGACAAAGTTACAGTCTGGACACAAATGAAGTTGGGATGCACAGACCAACAGATAGATGGACAGTGCCATTTTAATATGCTGCCTTTTAGGGGGCATAAAAACAGGATCCAAGTAAATGAATGTTAAAGTTTGAATCCACTAATTAAAGTAGAAAATTCCAAGTTGCCAAACACAGGTACTGATACAAGGAAATACAAACTAGAAAAATATGATAAACAAGCAAATTCGTTGAATTTATATCCCCCGCCGAGTACTGGTTATTATTAACACAACAACTGAAGACATAAGGCTTTATTTATATATTAATCATGGCATAAACTGTAATATTCTTTGAACTTGAAGCCTTGTACCTTCAAACAAGAAGAATTTTTAAGTTTTCACTATATACATATAAGGAAAATCTATGACCCCCTGGAGTGGGGCCAATTTTGACCCCAGGGCTAAAATTTGAACAATTTTGGTAGAGGACCTATAGGTTATATCATATACCAAATATCACAGCTCTAGGCCTTGTACTTTCAGACAAGATTTTTTAATTTTGCATTTTTGAAACTCCTTTTCTGGCCCTGTGACGTACTTATGCAACAGACCGGAACCATTTAATCCACTTTGGCAGGGGACCACCCTAGGATCATTCCTGTAAAGTTTGGTTGCTGTGCAGTCATTTGTTTCTGAGGAGATGTTGTTTAAAGAAATTGCTGACGACGCACGACGACGGACGGTGGGGGATCACAATAGCTCACTTAGATGTAAAAACATCTTAATCTCCAGACTTCATTGCCATTTTCAAGGCATCAAGAAAGGATCTCACAATTTTCAAATATTTTTAAATGTTATTGTAACAAATCATTTTAATTCTTCTTTAATAAAAACTAGAAATGTGTCCATAGGACACGGGTGCCCCCACCGCGCCACTGTTCTGTCAATCTTATGACTCTAGGTCAAATATTTTTTGAAAACTAAAAATCTTTTTACTAAGTAAAGGGCAAGAACTTTACAAATACTGAATAAATCCCCAAGCAAACCCCAAGTTGAAAATTGCAAATTTATACTACTGTAATTCAAGGGCAATAACTCTAACAAAACTGAAAAAAATCCACATGCAAAGTCCCAGGTTCATAGCATCACAGTGAGGTGAATCATTATTCCTGTAATTTAGTGATGTTGATCATTATTCCTGTTAAGTTGGTCGATTCTAACTCAAGCACTCAAGGATCAAATAACAACATAATGAAACAGTTTTTACTAAGTCAAGGGAAATAACTCTACAAATACTGGATAAATCCACAAGCGAAACCCCAGGAACAAACTAAATATGCTGAGCAACTTTCCAATAAGGTTTAATGACCATATGTCAAATCCTTTTTGAGTTACATGCGACACATGTTGAAAATTGCAAACACTTTCTAAGTCAAGGGCAATAACTCTAAAAATACTAAATAAATCCAAAGGAAAATACCCAGGTGCACAACTACACATGCTGATCAACATTCCTGTAAAGTATCATGACTCTAGGTCAAATACTTTTTGAGTTACATGCGACACAAGTTGAAAATTACAAAATTTTACTAAGTCAAGGGCAATAACTCTTAAAATACTAAAAATATCCAGACGAAAATACCCAGGTGCACAACTTCACATGCTGATCAACATTCCCATTAAGTTTCGTTGAATTCCAGCCATTAGTTGCAGAGAACTACTCCGGAAACGAAATTCGGACAAAATTTTACTGAGTCAAGGGCAATAACTCTAAAAATACTAAAAATATCCAGACGAAAATACCCAGGTGCACAACTTCACACGCTGATCAACATTCCCATAAAGTTTCGTTGAATTCCAGCCATTAGTTGCAGAGTACTACTCCGGAAACGAAATTCGGACGGACGGATGGACGGACATACCAAAATTTGATGTTTATGAGGCAAATGAGCTCATAAACACCACCTGGACCAACGTCCATAAGCAAAATAAGCTCATAAAAGCAAAAAAATAGCTCTTAATTTGAATTTTATGAGTTTATGTTCTTTATTTAACTACGGAATGAAACTCATAATAATCAAATGTTGGCTCGGACGGACGGATGGAAGGACGGACGGACAACGCCAAAACTATATCCCCCTCCCGATTCCATCGGCGGGGGATAATAAAAATTTCTTTCATTCAGGTTATTTTCTAGTACCATGATTATGAATGAAGGGGAAAATATTTGAATGTATTTAACATATAGGGAAATAAAAAACTGCTCTAGTTTAATGATTTGAAATAATTTGTGGCCAAAATAAATAATGGGATATACTGAAATAAGTTTTACTTGGGATCTCATGTCTTTAGTTCAAGCAATCAATTAACATGATAATTAAATACAACCTGCATCATAAGCCAAGCATATATCACACTTTTCTGTTTGTTTACTGCCTTTCCCCTGTTGTATCACATCCTTTAGCTGTTTCCTACTAATCCATCTTTGAGTGTTACTATTTCTAAGATGATTCTGAAGATTTAAAGGCAGGCTTGATTTTGTTTGTAGTAGATAACAATTATATGCAAAGCGATCAACAATAAAATAAACAAGAGCCACTGCAGACAAAGCAAACAAATAAACAAATCTTTAAAAAGAAAATTAAAAATAAATAAGTTTTTCTTATTTTTTTTGTCTAGTCACACTTTTGTCCAAGTATGAATCCTTTCCAAAAATAATTGACAAAGCTAAGAAAATATAATCAAAATTAAATCATTTGATTATCAAAGGTCAAGGTCATTTCTAAATTATTCCACATGTCCGTTTGGTCACAAGTGTTGTTTTGTCAACTTATAAATCAAATCTGTACATAAATAACACTAGAACGCCGCGAGTCAGATGTGTAGCCTTGTGAACAGTATAGCTGTCACTTAGGCATTTTCTTCTTTAATGTAGGATTTTTTATAAACACCGCTCTTACAATATACATGTATCTTGAACTTTAGTGGCATTTGAACTGATTGTAACAATGTTACACAAACTGTTATACTGTCAAAACTAAAAACACCAAGGAAAACTTTTACGCTGACAGATCAAATGGAGGATTCTTAAGCACTGAACCTCAGGTCAATGAAAAAAGCTTACATACCAAATTTGGAGTCACTAAGTTATGCTCTGGACAAGCCTATTATGAAAGAATATCAACAAAGGGCAATAACTCATACATCATGAAGTGCATAGAACAAGTTCTTCTGCACTGCACTTCTCCTTAATGAGATCTATCATCCTATGAAGTTTCAAGTCAATAGCTTTTATTGTGTAGGAGAATTGTCCCAGTCAAAAATAAAGTATAATAATTAACAAAGGGCAATAACTCTTAAAAGTACAGAGTACAGGTTCGTGTGCACTGCACTTCTTCTCAATAAGATCTATCATCCTATGAAGTTTCATGTCCATAGCCTTTTATAGTTTGGGAGAAATGGCCTGGACAAAAATAAAGTATGAAAATTTACAAAGAGCAATAACTCAATAATAAGAAGTGCAGAGTCTAGTGTACTGCACTTCTTCTTAATGAGATCTATCATTCCATGAAGTCCATATCTTTTACAGTTTAGGGTAAATGGCCCAGACAAAAATAAAGTATGAAAACTAACGAAGGGCAATAACTAAAAAAAATAAAAATTGCAGAGTACCGGTTCTTGTTCTTAATGAGATCTATCATCCTTTGAAAATTCAAGCCCATAGCTTTTATAGTTTAGGAGAAATGGTATGGACAGAAATAAAGTGAGACAAGAAACATGGCAATGCCATGAAACCAGGTTTTCAATTATCACCATTGTAGATAAATATGTTGTATTTGAAATACAAATACAAGCAACAAACAATGTAACTATGTGCAATGTAAAACATGAATAATGTAGGAGGAATTGCCACTGAAGAAGTGTTCACTATAATATTATGTATAAGGAAAAAAACAAAGGGCCATAATTAGGTCAAAAACTATCCAATCACAAAACTCCGACAATATGTGCCAGGGTGCTTGATGACAAAGCTTCTGTGAAAGTTTGAACAAAATCCGTTGAGAAATGTAGGACGAGTTCAGCACAGAAGAATTTGTTCACTATAATTATATTGATAATTCTGTATAATGAAAAACAAGTTACAAAGTAGACATGAAATAATATATCATATCTTTTTTAAATTACCTCCAAAGATGATATGACCTTTGACTGCCAAATCAAGTTAAAATCATGTAAACAGGATTTTCAATGTTAATGTCACTGTGACCTTGACCTTGGAGCCAGCCATGCAGAACATGCGTTCTGCACGTCATCTTGATGTGGTAAACATTTGTCTGAAGTTTCATCAAAATTCTTCAAAGGGTTGAAGAGTTACAGAGCGGACAGGATTTTCAATGTTAATGTCACTGTGACCTTGACCTTGGAGCCAGCCATGCGGAACATGCGTTCTGCACGTCATCTTGATGTGGTAAACATTTGTCTGAAGTTTCATCAAAATTCTTCAAAGGGTTGAAGAGTTACAGAGCGGACAGGATTTTCAATGTTAATGTCACTGTGACCTTGACCTTGGAGCCAGCCATGCGGAACATGCGTTCTGCACGTCATCTTGATGTGGTAAACATTTGTCTGAAGTTTCATCAAAATTCTTCAAAGGGTTGAAGAGTTACAGAGCGGACACAATTTCGTTTGACGCCCGCCCATCCGCCCATCCGCCCAGCCGCCCATCCGCCCATCCGCCCGCCATACCCCAATCTAATAACCAGGATTTTCAAAATTGAAAACCTGGTTAAAAATTAACAAAGGGCAATAACTCAGAAATTAAGAAGTGCAGTGTAACAATTCTTGTGCACTGCACTGAATGGGTCATTGAAAGAAGCATGCATACCAAGTTTGGAGTCAATCTGACTTATAGTGACTGAATTATGCTCCAGACAAGCCTAAGGGGATGTCGTTGCTAACAACGACGTCGCCAACAAAAGTAACCCCTATATGTCCCCTTTTTCAAGGTGACACAAAAAGTATGAGAACTTTGGTACGACAACCAAAATTCAATACTTTGACCTTGACGGACAAAGTCATTTAAAGGGCAAGGTCAGTTCAACCTTTAAGAATGTTTAGTCAACTAGAAATGCTGCCCCCACAGCGCCAATGTTCTGTCAATCTTATGACTCTAGGTCAAATATTTTTTGAAAACTAAAAATCTTTTACTAAGTAAAGGGCAAGAACTTTACAAATACTGAATAAATCCACAAGCAAACTCCAAGTTGAAAATTGCAAATTTATACTACTGTAAGTCAAGGGCAATAACTCTAACAAAACTGAAAACAAGATTGCATTTGAGAAAATGCTATGCCACCGCATTAATACAACACTAAATAGAAGAGTAGGAACAAATACTGTTGAAGAAAGGGTCTTTTATTAACCTCGTATATTATTGTCTGGATGAGCCGGTACCAATGCAAAACCAACGTATTACTATAAACTGCTAGCATTCCCTTGCAGAAAGATAAGCAGACGACAGCCTAAATCATTGCTGTACATCAAAGGACAAGAAAGTAGGTCACTGTCCCCTTGGGCAAGGCAAAAGTTTGACCCAAGGGTTTAATTCAAAACAATCTTGATACAGGTCCACCAAACAACATCTCATGCCATAAATTTAACCTCTAGCCTTTGTCAATTCAGAGAAGAAGATTTTTCAAGTTTTTACTTTATACATATAAGGAAAACTATCGCCTCTAGGGCAGGGCAATTTTTTCACTAGGGGCATAATTAAAACAACTTTAGTAGAGGACCCATAGATGATATTATATACCAAATATCAAAGCTCTAAGCCTTGTACCTTCAGACAAGAAGATTTTTTAATTTTTATTACATGTACATAGTGAAAATAAATGACCCCTGGGGGTGGGGCCAATTTTGACACCAGGACTATAATTTGTACTATCTTGCTAGAGGTTCACTACACAATGTTTCATGCAAAATATCTTAACTCTAGTCTTTGTAAATTTAGAGAAGATGATTTTTTAAGTTTTTACTATACATATATTAGGAAAACCTATGGCCCCCGGGGCGGGGCTAATTTTCACACTGTAGGCAAAATTTGAACAACTTTGGTAGAGTACCTATAGATGATATCATTTAACAAATATTAAAGCTCTAAGCCTTGTACCTTCAGACAATAAGATTTTATTTTTTACTATATGAATATATTGGAAATCAATGACCCCCGTGGCAGGGGCAATTTTGACCCCAGGGCTATAATTTGAACAATCTTGGTAAGGGTCTACAAGACAATGCCTTATGCAAAATATCTAAGCTCTGGGCCTTTTGGGTCTTTACAAGAAGGTATTTTAAGCTTTTACTATATGTACATATAGTGAAAATCGATGACCCCCGGGGCGGGGCCGATTTTGACCCCAGGGCTATAATTTGAACAATCTTGGTAGAGGTCTACCAGACAATGCCTTATGCAAAATATCTTAGCTCTAGGCCTTCTGGGTCTTTACAAGAAGAATTAAATAAATTTATTCTTATAATTCCTTTTGGTTGCCATGGCAACCAGATTTCTGCATGGAATGAAATTCTTTGAACAACTTTGGAAGCCCTTCACCCAAGATCAATCCTGCCAAGTTTGGTTGAAATTGGACAAGTGGTTTTTCACAAGAAGATTTTTGAAGTTCACTATATAATCTATATAACACACACACACACACACACACACACACAGATACTGCGGTGGCATAAAAATCCACTTGCAAAGTTCCAGGTTCATAGCTTCACAGTGATGTGAATCATATTATTCTTGTAATTTAGTGATGTTGATCATTATTCCTGTAAGGTTGGTCGATTCTAACTCAAGCACTCAAGCACTCAAGGGACAAATAACAACATAATGAAACAGTTTTTACTAAGTCAAAGGAAATAACTCTACAAATACTGTATAAATCCACAAGCGAAACCCCAGGTGCAAAACTAAATATGCTGAGCAACCTTCCCATAAGGTTTAATGACTCTATGTCAAATCCTTTTTGAGTTACATGCGACACAAGTTGAAAATTGCAAAATTTTACTAAGTCAAGGGCAATAACTCTAAAAATACTAAAAATATCCAAAGGAAAATACCCAGGTGCACAACTTCACATGCTGATCAACATTCCTATAAAGTTTCATAACTCTAGGTCAAATACTTTATGAGTTACTGCGAAACAAAAGAGAACGGACGGACGGAAGGACGAACGAACCGATAAGGGCAGAAAAATGCTGTTTTGTCTATTTATGAAAATAATCCATTGATTTAAAAAGGGATAATCAGTGAAAATAAAATAATTTGTCCTTCAAGGACAAGGTCATACATGAGTCAAGGTCAATTTGAGTTTAATATACATCAAAGGCCTGACCTAAAAGATGTGTCTTAATATGAAGTTAATCCATTTATAAATAACAAAGTTATAGCTAGTTACATAAAGAAACATAAAAAATTCATTAATTTGAACTTGACAGTCAGTTGAAGGTCAAGGTCACACCTTAATCATTCAATATGTTTGTTTGGTAGCAAGTCTTCCTTTGTCCAAGTTTAAAACAAATACATACCGTATAATAAAGATTATTTTAGAATTAAAATAATCCCATTTATTTTAGAGAAATAATCGTCTGCTACCTTGTGTAAAGCTATCATTACGTGGCAATCGGCAAACCTCGGTCATTATCTATAGATTGTTTACATTACACTGGTTACCGTGTTTATCTGATCATTTCTATATAGAGCCGGGTTTAAAGAGTTAGCTGTTAATAATATAAAAGCCCGAGTTTCTCGTGCAACTTTCTCAGTTTTTGTTTGACGACGAAGCATTAACACACTCAATTACCCGCCCGCCACACCCTGTTTAGGCTAATATATTAAGAAGTTAATAGGCAGGTTCATTCAGATCGAAACTGTTAATTAAATATTTTGACTGTTAAGCCTTATGTGTATTGATTCGATATTTAGCTTGTACAAGATTACTGCTGCTGTTTATCTATTTGCAGGATTGAGTTTGAGTTTTGTCAATAACCTGTGTTTGTCCACAAATGTCGAGAGTTGGCTACGCACCTGAACGCAGAGATTGGATGCTAACCTGATGGAACACTTGGGAGCAAAAACAAACATTGTGTGTTAAAGTGAAAACCAGCTAATGTGAAGAGACTGTGTACTTTATAAATTACAGAAAACATCTTTGTGACTGGTTAATAATAAGTATATAGAATTATGTTCGGTGCTAGCTTAGACTTAAATAAAAAAATGTGGACACTTGAAATTCGAATTAAAAACTGTAGTTTAATAAACTTTCATAGACTCACAGAAATTTATATGTTATACTCTGTTTTTTCATATTTAATTTTGATATCGTCGCTCACAGTGGCGTAAAATTCTTCCGATCGAGAGGAGATCAGACATTGTATTCTGTTTTGTTGGCATTTTAACTTAAAACCCTGTGTATGGTTCTACTGCTCGTGACAGAATACCCGTCAGGGTAGGCCGACCTACAATCAGGAAATTAATTTTGGAAGTATCATACAGTTTGTCCATGTGTTTGGACTGCAGTTTGCGTTATTTGGTTTTGCCCGTAGTACTTGGCAATTCCTGTTTTTTGCGTTGCAGTGTATGGCAATGCCGTACAATGGCGTCAGTTGTGGGTTCTATTTATACGCTTGGGTTCCCAGCGATGAATGGAATCTTCAATTTGATGTCATTTGCGGTAATCTTTTGGACTGTTGAACACTGTGTTTTGCGTTTGCGTTGCGTTGCGTTTGTATGATACTGTTTGCGTGTTTTTGTATGTATTTGGACTTTAGCAAAAAGTAAATGTGTAATATAAAGCACATCTGATCTCCTCTCGGTAGAATTATTTAGACAGGGGATACCCTGTCAAATTTGAGCGGCCAAAACAATCCAACCTTGAATTGTATTTAGTGCGATATTGCTTTATTGTTTGCAATAACATTGTTGAAGCGTTCATGTATGAGTCATATACATATAACAAAATTAAATATGAAAATGTTACTCATAGTCGTTTTATTTTATTTCAATTATTAAAATAAGTGGTATTTTCTGCGGGCTCAAAATTCTGCGGTTTTTCCAAATTTTGACATGTTTTTATTTCTGCGGACTTTATTTCTGCGGCACATTCTTTGGACAAAACGTGTTTAAAATTCTGTGGCTCATCTTATCAAAGTCTTAGTCACATTACATATTTTATTTGCATGTACACATTCGCATTAAAATTTTGTTTATCGTCGTCACCGCAAAACTATATAGTAATTACAAACAATTATATTGTTTGCTTGCAAACAAATACAATGCGCAACAATAGACAGTATGCATCTTAATTCTTTTGATCAGCATGAAAGGACGTGTGAAAAATATACCCTGGTAGTATCTTTAATTTAATAAAATTGATAAGAGTTTAACAGTTAATGTATACGACGATTATTTAGCAGTATAAGGGTTAAAATGGTGTTCTTGATTTAGTGGTAAACAAACCTTTTAGCGTACAGGCAAACACTTAGATGTTTTAGTACATTTATTCATAAATTGGCATAACTAACAATAGGTACATCCTTACAAGCATATATTACATACTTAGCTGGAAGCAATTTTATATAACTCGATGACCCGCTAACCGTTATAATCCGTTAGTCGTTATTACTTTAGAGGAAACAGGTCAAAATGTAGGACACATATCGTTAAAAAAACAAAACATGGAGAAATATTCTGTGGTTTTTATTTCTGCGGTGGTGAAACTGACCGCAGAAAACGCAGAAATAAAGTCACCGCAGAAAAAACCACTTATACGGTACATAATTAACAAAATTATGACAATATGACCAAATTGGGTCTTCATACTTTGAGATAAGAACAGTTTGGATAAGACCCTCTAAGAGCTTGAACTGATTGACCTTGATCTTTAAATGACCTTGACCCTCAAGGTCAAAGTATAATCCATTACCAAGTTACTGACAATTATAGTAACAGGACGGCCATGATGGTCCTCGTATCGCACACTTGATTAAGAAGTGATTATGAAGGCTCATAGTATCCCCTAGAGTTAACAAAGATTTTCTATATTGGGCCTGTGTGACCTTGATTTTAACACCAGGTAACCCATATTGGAACTTGACCTTGAAATCATCATAACATCCTTCCTGATCAATTTTCAGGAAAATTGGACAGAAACAGTAGCCCCTAGTGTGTCAACGTTTTTCCAAATTTGCACTGTGTGACCTAGTTTTTGACCCCCAGTCTACCAATATTCAAAATTGAACTGGAAATCATCAAAGCAACCTTCCTGACTCATTTCCATGATATTTGGATCACAACAGTAGCCATTGTGTCTAAACAAGGTTATTCTATCATTGGATTGTGTGACCTAGATTTTGACCTTAGGTGACCCATATTCAAACTTGACCTTGAAATCATCATAACAATCTTTCTCACAAATTTCCAGGAAAATTGAACTTAAACAATATTCCAAAATGTGTAAACAAGGTTTATCCATATTTGGGCTGTGTGACCTAGTTTTTGAGCCCAAGTGACCCATATTCAAAATTTGACCTAAAATATCATCAAAAAAACTAACTAACTAACTAATTTCCAGGATATTTTAAATTTTCAATAATTTGATCTTCTAGGCTATTTATGAGAGGTCAAGGTCAGTCTGGTAAACTTTAAGATCTTTCCTAAAAGATTATTATGTTAAAGTTTGAAGACAATCCATTCAAAAATAACAAAGATATAGCCACCAAATACAAATATCAGCAAAACACAAGCAAAATTTAGACATTTGATCTTGAAGGTCAAGGCCATTTATGAACAAAGGTCAAGGTTAGTCTGGTCTTCTTGAAGGTCTTGTCTCAAGGGCTATTGTGGCCAAGTATGAAGACAATACACCGTAATGATCAAGGTTAAAGTTTGCTGACAGCATCGGCAACATCAACGCCAACATGACTAACTATACCTCTATTTTTCTTCCAAGAGGGCCATAATGGCCCTGAGGTAGCTCACCTGTATATAGAGCCCCGGATCGGGCCAGTTTAAACCCCAGGGCTTTTATTTGAACAAACTTGGAAGACACTCATTAGAAGATGTTTCACAATGTTAAGTTTTTACGACACACATATGATGAAAAACAATGATCTCTTCTCCCCCACTCCCCCGGCAGGGCCAATTTTCACCCGAGGTCTTTTATTTGAACAAACTTGGTAGACATCCATAAGATGATTTTTCATGCTAAACATCTAAGCTCTAGCTCTTTGGGTTTTTTAAAAGAAGATTTTTAAGTTTTTACTATACACATATAGTTAAAAACACTGACACCCCTGGGGCAGGGCCAATTTTGACCCCTGGGCTTTTATTTGAACAAACTTTGTAGACACTTACTAGAAGATGTTTCATGCTTAATATCTAAACTCTAGCTATTTGGGTTTTTTCAAAGAAGATTTTTAAGTTTCTATTATATGCATATAGGGAAAATCAATGACCCCCCCCCCCCAAGAAGATTTTTTAAGTTTTTGCTAATCACATATAAGGAAAATCAATGACCCAATTTTGACCCCAGGGCTTTTATTTGAACAAACTTGGTAGACACCCATTTGAACATATTTCATGCTAAATATCTTAGCTCTATCTCTTTGAGTTCTTTAAAAGAAGATTTTTTAAGTTTTTACTATATGCATATAGGGAAAATCAATGACCCCCTGGGGCGGGGCCAATTTTGACCCCAGGGCTTTTATTTGAACAAACTTGGTAGACACTCTTTAGAACATGTTTCATGCCAAATATCTAAGCTCTAGCTCTTAGGATTTTTTAAAAGAAGATATTTAAAGTTTTTTTTTCGGTTGCCATGGCAACCAGAGTTCTGCATGGAATTAAATTCTTTGAACAATTTTTAAAGGTGACCACCAAAGGATCATTCCTGTGAAGTTTGGATGAAATTGGCTTAGTGGTTTATGAGGAGATGTCATTTAAAGTAAAAGTTTACGGACGGACAATGGACGGACAACGGACGGACGCCGGACAAAAAGCGATCACAAAAGCTCACCCTGTCACTTTGTGACAGGTGAGCTAAAAAGTCAAGCTAGAAACAAATGTTTACTGTTTAATGTTGGCCCAGTTGTTTTAAAGTTTGTAAACCTAACTGTAGCACTTTTTTTCCTTTACCTGACAAGGAAATGCAATTTTCATCAAATTTTAAACAAAGTTTATACAAGAAGATATCTTTATCAATTTAGCAAACTTTTTACCTTTAATTCTGATACCAATTTATCAGAAGTCATTTTCTTCTTTTCATCAATGCATTCACTAGACAGAGTAACTAAAGGTCCTGTAACTTCTGGTACTACTTGTAAATCCTTCCACATTTTCTGAAAAAAATATGTTGCACAAGTATGCCCATATTGTATGCCCATATTGCTCACATTAGTGAATGGAAAAAGTAACATGAGCACTTGTTAGGACACCATGCTTGACTATTCTCAGTGCTTGATGGTAAAACAAGAAACTGGATAATGTAAAGTTCATAAAGGGCCATAATTCTGTCAAAATCTATGTAAAGAGTTATGGGCCTTGGACAATGTACTTTCATGTTCTCAAATGAAAGTCTTAATTTTTAACCAATGCCCTTCAGTAGTTTTTGAGAAATTGACTTACATGGTAAAAATTTACCAAAGTGAGACACCTGGGTGAGTCTAATAGCTATCCCTATTCTTGGAATAGTCAAGCTAAAAAGGTGTAAATGCCAAACTTGATGTAAATATCATACAGGTCATCATACAATAGTTGTAATCAGGAACTCAGCAAATGTGGGTTTGTATATGCTAATCCCCTAGTACAAACAAACTTTTATAGTTTTAGCTTCAGGGTGCACTACCAGTCACACCTGTTGCACTTTTTTCTAGGCTGTAACTGTAAAAGTTTGTTTGTACCCCAGGAATATCTGGGAAAACCAAAAATATACTTCATTCTGGAATAAGTCTTTTTAAAACAATAACTATTTTTTAATATATAAATGTTTTAGCTGGGGCCAAAAATCTATTTTATGGTTCCAGTTTTAGTGACACTGCTATATATCACACTGAAAAGTGAGACAAATGCATTATTTTCACAAGCCTGTAACAGGAGAGGAATTGTTGATATTTTCTCAATTCAACATGACATATCGAGCATGTATATTATACTATGCCTTATACATGAAAAAAAGACTTATCGTTTACTTTTTTTTATTGAAGCCCATGTAACAGATGCATGTAAAACTGTGCGTTAGACATTTGACGGCTGCACAAATGGTGCGCTAACAACAGAGCTTAAAGTGTGCAGTCATTCCTTTTACAATTTAAGATTATAAGAATCTTACACCGGCTGCCGGTACAGACCGGAATATCTAGCTTGAGGGTAACTTGTTTACGGCGGTAACGCGGTTCTGCCGAGTTTCCGCTAAACAGTTACCCGAGAGCTAGATTTTTTTTTTTTTTTTTTTTTGAGGCCCCAACTGGGTAACCCCGTTTATTCACCCCGTAATAGGTATGAGAGGGTCGGGGTCATCCCCCACATACCTTACATTAATTATACATGTATAACACATTGTAATATTTACAAACAAAAGATCATAATATACCTTAAATTTTATCATATTAACATTATAATTAAAGCATACAAATAGTATATTTTACATATTTTACACATGTATGTAAGTAAACAAAAGAGAACCTAACATAAATATAGAATGTCAGTGTAATTCATTCGATTAATAATCTTACAATTTGCCATCTTTTAATTTCAGTGTCAGTCAAATTGGTATTTTTGTAAATAGTCCAGGCTAATTTAAGGCTATTTTTACCCGAGAGCTAGATATTCACGTCTGTACCAACAGCCGATGTTTGATTCTTTTTCTTGCATATTACATATCAATTATTTTCGGAACAGGAATTATGAAAACTGATATTCTCATTACGCACTTTTTTCTTATAGTCGCGTATGAACTTACAAGTTCATTCATAACGGTAAACTGACGTCATCCTTAGAATGCAGTTCATTCATAAAAGGCGCGCGTCAATGACGTCATTTAAAGCACGCGACTTGTCTTACATGGGGGGGTGTAAGACTAATAATATCTGTCATATTTTGCGGTTCGGATCGGAATATCCGTCCCGAGGTGACCCGCCCATGGGCGGGTCACCGAGGGACGGATATTCCGATCCGAACCGCAAACATATGTCAGATATTTTTTCTTGCATATTCTACCATATTCCATTATATTTTAAATTCTTTATCTTTATTTTCAATGAAAATTTATATCATTACAACCATAACTACTTTCATTCAACAGCGTATGAATTACAAAATCATTCATAACGGTAAAATGACGTCATCAAATATCGTGCCATTGTACAGCACGCGACTCATCTGGAACCCCCCATGCCAGCTGAAATTTCCGGCATGGGTAAAACTAACGGAAACGTCAGTCTGATATGCAAGAAAATCCTGTCTGAGATGCAAGAAAAATAATGATATTCAAATTGAAAAATATGCCATAAAGAACAAAAAAAAAACAAAACTTTTTTCTGTTAAATTTACAATTCTACAACATCATGAAAATTAAAATGTATGCCAAAATTCGATGGCAAGTTATATCAGTCACAATGCAAGTAACATGCTCTCAGTGATAAAGATCTCATGGATAATTTTAAACAGTTAAAAACCCAGGTCATGTTGAATTTAACTGTCTAGCATAAAATAAAAGTTTTTTAATCATGACTTTTGTATTTCTCATTTCTTGGCCAAGATTTACAAATAGACTACCATAAGCATGTTCTTGTTCTTGCATATCACTACTGTTTACACTGGCTTTACAAAAACCTGTCTCACACCCCCCATACAAAGCAAGTTGCATGTTTTAAATGATGTCATTTCAGTGCCACTTTTATGAATTTATTGCATTCTTAGACGATGTCGTTTTGCTGTTATTTGCAAAATTATTTGCCACAATAAGAAACAAGTGGGAAACGTAAATATAAGTTTTTGTTATTTCTTTCCGCAATACTATTAATGTAATAAGCAAGAAAAAGAATCAAACACAGGCTGTCCTAACAGATGGGAATATTTAGCTCTCTTACAAATGTTTAGCAGAAACTCAGCAGAACCTCGTTACCACCATAAACAGTTACCCTCGAGCTAGATTTTCCGGTCTTTTCCGGCAACCAGTGAAAGATCCTTATAAAATATGATACCTATCATGTCACTTTTACTTTAAGGTTTTCAAAAGTCCTTTCTTATAAAAACAATATATATATCAAACAAGTAAGCCAGTCTTACAAGTTATTTTCTGAATACTTAACAATTTCAAAGGATTATCACTAAATATCTAACTTTTTATACAGCTTTAGAACAAATAGCTTTTAAAGCTGCATGCCTCCAGAGCCAAATATTTCAAGAAAATTGAATTTGAGAAAAATTAGAGCCGGTTGAACCGTGTGATGCTCCCCGAATAAGTTTTGGACACAGGAAGGTATACCTCTGGTAGTGTCAGAGTTATGTCACTTGTTTGTTTGTTTGTTTATTTCATTTTAAGCCTTTTTCCAACAGTATTTCAGTCATATAGGTGGGTAGTTTCCTAACCATTGTTCCTGGAGAGTTACACCAGTACTAGACTACCTTCCTCCACATTTGAGAAAAGTAAAAAGATTTAAGATTCAAGTCATAATTTACACGTTATGTGGGATAAAGTATTTATTACCATAATTATTCTGCATTTCTACCACTGAAAGTACTATTTATGCTTATTTTGACCTATTTTGGTAATTTACTATGACATAGCAATCCTTGCTTGAAGCTTCATATGAATGTTACACAGATAAACAAATTCACTCATGATTAATAATTATGTCATCAATTATCCAACAGAAATATATATCTTCTTAAACAATAATTAAACATGTGTAATCTTTTCTTCACAAAAAAATGACAGTTTTTTAACTTCTGATCAATAAAGAGGGCACTGTAAAGGGCACTGTAAAGGAGGGGCAATATACGCCTAAACTAAAATTGTTTATCAAAAATAATCTTTCAATTAGGAAAAAAAAAACATTTAAAAAACTTCACCAAAAGATTCTTATCTAAATTATTTTTTTTATACTAAATTAAGTGGAAGCATCTATACCCTTGCTGCATGATTCATAAAACATTTATACAGGTCTGCTAGGCAATACTACATACCAAATATGTAAGCTCTGAGCACTGTAGTTTTCCACAAAAAGATTTGATGTGTTTTCTAATACATCAATCTACATAAGGCATGGTGACCTCCAGGCCAGACACAATTTTGACATCAGGGTTATGGTAAAGAAGACTCTGGGCTTTTACAGTATAGGAATAAATAATAAAATCCTACATAAAAACTGACTCCAAGGGGTACACCGGGGTCCAGACTGAAGTTTTATAAAAAGCATTCATCTAACTTTATCTAAATTCTTAGATATCTTTCTTTTAGAAACTGCTTTTTTTTTTCCTTTAAAAAAAAATCAAAAAAAATCAGGTGTTTACACTAATTTTAACACATATTTGATCATATCTTGGCAGTCAGTTTGACTCACAAGCTTTCCTGGATAACTAACCAGTCTCTCTTATGGATGTCTTATTGATTTGCTAAATGAAAACCAACCATTAATCGTTTCCTTATCTTCTTTTCAATTTGTGTCATTAAATCCTCTTCTGGACATGCCTCTACAAATGGCTTTTTACCCGTAAGTAGTTCTCTCATAACTGTAAATACCAAAGCATTAACAATATATTAGATTAAAAGGAATAAATGCTTAGAATACAAAAACTTTCTATAATCTGTAGAGGACAATCAATTTTGAAAATAGAATTTGAAATTTTTTTCCCCGCTAATTTGATAAAACAAGAAGGCATTGATGGCCCTGAAATCGCTTACCTGTATATAGGCCCCCGGAAGGGCCAATTTTAACCCAAAGCTTTTTATTTGAACAAACTTGGTAGACACAAATAAGAAGATGTTTCATGCTAAATATCAAAGATCTAGACCTTTGGGTTTTTTAAAAGAAATTTTTTTAAGTTTTAATATACCCATAGGGAAAAAACAATGGCCTCTCCTCCTCTCCCCCCGGCAGGGCCAATTTTAACCCAACGGCTTCTATTTGAACAAACTTGGTAGACACCCATTAGACACTCTTTGAGTTTTTAAAAGGAAGATTTTTTAAAGTTTTTACTACATACATATAGGGAAAAACAATGACCCCCTGGGACAGGGCCAATTTTGACCCCAGGGCATTTATTTGAACAAACATGGAAGAGACTTACTAGAAGATGTTTCATGCCAAATATCTTAACTCTAACTTTTTGGGTTTTTTAAAAGAAGATTTTTTACGGTTTTTCTGGCAACCAGAGTTCTGCATGGAATTAAATTCTTTGAACAAATTTTAAAGATGACCACCAAAGGAACATTCCTGTGAAGTTTGGATGAAATCGGCTCAGTGGTTTATGAGGAGAAGTCGTTAAAATTAAAAGTTTACAAATGCCGGACGAAAAGGGATCACAAAAGCTCACTTTAAGACAGGTGAGCTAAAAACAACAGAACCACTGACCCTGGTGCCATGAAATTCACAATTTTGGAGAAGACAGCCTCTCTCAGGGGCCATGAATTTCACAATTTTTGTTCCCCTTTACCTATAGATACTTTATGCCAAAATTGATTGAAATTGGTTCAGTGGTTCTCAGGTGACCTCATAAAAAATCTAACAAGAAAAAGTTGATTTGTGCTATAATTTCATTATTATTTCAAATTACATGCATAAAGAAAAGTCCCTCTTTTACAGTAAAAATGCCAACATAAGTCACTATTACCTTATATTACCTAAGTCACCAAAAAAATCTTCTCAAATGGCAATGGTACGAGTTTGGCAGGTCAACTACTGGTTTGTAAAATGTATAAAGCACTTACCTACGCCAAAATAACGGTAATCATCAAGTCTATCAATGATCTGTTGCTTTGTTAATTTTCCATAGCCAGGGGTGGCATAATAACGTGTAGTTTTTGTATTGTCAACGCCAAATTTCATTTCACGTGCAAGGCCAAAATCAATTATTCTTGCATTCAGAAATTCATCCAGCACAATATTTAAGGATTTAACATCTCTGTGAAATATCATTCCTCTGTAAATTATAGTAAAACTAATGAAAATGAATTTTCCAACACTTTATAAACATACCCTAAAAACTTGATAATAAGCCACAGCTCATTATTATTTTTAGTAAAAAATTGTTTATTTTCAAGGCCAGAATGCAACACAGTCTCACAAGCTTATTTCTGAAGGCATTTTATAAACATAGAGTAAGTCTGTATTTGGTAGCCGACACACAAGTTTTTAAGGGTATGAGCTATGATATAAATTAACATTCCTGCATCATGCATAAATGGAATCTGGACAATTCCCTTCCTGGACAATTCCCCTCTCATTTATTCTTGCCAACCCGGACAATTCAGCCTCCCATTATTTAAATAGGGTGAACAATTCTACTCCCTTTGTAATTCAGCCAGCACAATTCCCCTTTTGTATTTTTATCAGGATGGACAATGCCCCTCCCTTTTTTACTATATAATTAAAGTTGTAATGAAAAAAGAACTGAAGTGATTAAATAAATGATACTTTTATATCATATCTTATCCCGAGTTAAACAATAACCATTACTCCATCTTCTGTATTTCAGGGTTATTGTTCCATTTTTTCCTTTTCTTTGTCCGATGCAGAACTTAGAAACTTATGTTTGGAATTCAAAGCAACTTCATACAATGGTCAAGCAATATGAAAGGAAGTGCAATTGGAGACAATTCAGTGTAACTATCTTATTGTTATATTCTCTACTCCAGGGATGGAAATCAGAATTGCTTCATAACATTTACAAGAAAATGGTTTCTTTTTTTCTAAATATTTTTCTATTGAAGTGACTGATATTAAACTAGAACTATCGCTGAATGCGATTCATACCCCCACCAATGTCCTTGACAGAAGACGACTTGGAAAGGTGGTTAAGGAAATAACTTTAGTGGCACAAATACATATAATTATATAAAAAGAAATTATCTCTGGTGAAACTAGAACTGCCACTGTCATGGCTTGAATACCCACTCATACCACTTTGTCAGAATCAACAGTGGCCATTTAGAGCTCAAGGACAACCTCCCTTCCAAATCTGAGGTTACTAAGCCAGTGCATTGCTAAGTTATGTATTTTCCATGCTTCAAATGTCAAAATCAATACACTGCGGACAGGTATTTTTAAGCATTTGAGCAATAGGGGTCATCTACTAATCATTACTAACCTCCATGCCAAATATGAAGACTGTGGGTAAAAGAAATCTCAAGTTATTGGGTGGACAAGCTGCTTTTAGTCAAGGCCTCTATGACCTTGACTTTTGACCCAGTGACCTAAAAATCAATAGGGGTCATCTACTAATCATGACTTACCTCCATGCCAAATATGAAGACTGTGGGTCAAAGAAATCTCAAGTTAATGGGCGGAAAAGCTTTATTTTGTCAAGGCCCCTGTGACCTTGACCTTTGAACCAGTGACCTCAAAATCAATAGGGGTCATCCACTAATCATGACTAACCTCCATGCCAAATATGAAGACTGTGGGTTATAAATATAGGAATCTCAAGTTATTGGGTGGACATGCTTTTTTTAGTCAAGGCCCCTGTGACCTTCACCTTTGACCCAGTAACCTCAAAATCAATAGGGGTCATCTACTAATCATGACTAACCTCAATGTCAAATATGAAGACTGTGGGTCAAAGGAATCTCAAGTTATTGGGCGGACAAGTTTTTTTAGTCAAGGCCCCTGTGACCTTGACCTTTGACCCAGTGACCCCAAAATCAATAGGGGTCATCTACTAATCATGACTAACCTCGGTGCCAAATATGAAGACTGTGGGTCAAAGGAATCTCAAGTTATTGGGCTGACAAGGAAAAACCGCCAGACGGGGAGACGGACAGACAAGCTAATTCCAGTATAGTAAGTAAGTAAGTAAGTAACGACTTTATTTAATGAGGCAACACAGTTGGGCAAGCCCAGTCTTCCCTGTGGGCCTCAACAATATACAAAACAATTTACAAAATATAATACATCAATAAAAGATTAAATAATAACACAAGTAGATTTCATTATTATACATCAACACTGACATAGTTTAAAAAAAAAAAAAAAAAAAATGAGTTGATATTATATACATACATTCAACATTGAATTGGATGGTAACAAAATTGAAAATTTACATACATATTAACAAAAATATTCAACCAATATAAAAACAAATATTTATACATGTATAGCATCTAAGCAGATGTTTCCACCAGAGAACCACCATGTTAAATATGACTTTTTGAATAATGGAAGACTGTTTGATTGCCTGATATGTAATGGTATTTTGTTCCAGATTTTAGGCCCAGAGTAAGCAAGAGCTTTTCTGCAAAATTCTAATCTAGGTTTTGGTATATGTAGTATCTGTTGAGTGTTTGATTTTAGAGTTGTGTGATTTGTATGTGAAAATAAATCAGACATATAATGTGGCAATAGATTGTTAATGGATTTGTAAACAAGAATTGCTTTTTTATAATGGATGCGGTCATGTATTTTTAACCAATTCAATTCATGAAACAATATTTCTGAAGGGGTATCAATGTCTTTGTCAAGTATGATACGGGCGGCTCTCTTTTGAAATTTGTATATGCTGTTCAGTAATTCATCATTACAATTTCCCCAAATAGTGCAGCAGTAATCAAGGTGTGGTAATATGTATGCATTATAGAAAACTATTCTCATTTGTTTGTTAAGGTACTGTTTGATACGGAGGAGAAGATACAGTAATGAGTTGCATTTTTTAATCAGCTGTTCAATTTGACAGTTCCATGATAATCTATGATCCACATGAATTCCCAGCAATTTTTCAGAGTTAGTAAATTCAATGTCATTTTCCTGCATTTTCAAAATGTAATCATTGCTTGATTTGATGGTGTTGTAAATGATATTTGATGGGGAGATTATCATTGCTTTTGAGGATTTGGTAGCATAGAGTTTCTTGCACACCAGTCGTAGATGATGTCAATGCTATTTTGTAGCGATCTGTAGACTGAGTCAATAGACGATCCAAATGAGGTGACAGTTGTATCGTCTGCAAACATGTCAGTAGATGTATTTGGAAGGTTTAAAGGCAAGTCATTTATATATAGAATGAATAGAGCGGGGCCAAGTATAGAACCCTGAGGGACTCCAGATGATATTTCTTTAGCATAACACCCTTACAACTTTGTTGTGCGTATAAAAAAGACAAATTGTACAGGTAATAGTATAAAT